AAATTTTCACATAATTAGAAATTAAGTATTACGAACACTCCCGAATGTGGAAAATTAATTTTTGATTTAAAGAAAAAAAAAACCGATGAAAAAAATTCAACACTTTGTAAAGTTTAAAATTGGAAATTAACTTGAATTTATAAAACACGTGGTTTTACGAAATGTCGAACGATAATGCGATTCCATTATGCGCATCATTCCATCTCGACAGGAACAAACCTGTAACCAATAAAATGACCCAAAGTTAGGGAGAGGGATATTGAAGTAATTGTATTTCTACCTGACCCTTCAAGGTGTAATTAATACTACTTTGAGAAAGAGAAAAAAAAACAAAACTTTATTGTTAGATATTTATGTAAATATTGACAATTTCTTATAGATGACATTTTTATAAACGAATTTGGAATATATTCATTATTTATTACATAAAAAGTTAAGAATTATTAATATTATTTTTGGATTCTAGAAGCCAGTACTGCACAAGAAGTCAATTTTTGATAGGATTGTTTGCCCTTTTTTTACCATTAACTGATAGTATGGAGTTCTACATTGCCGACATTTACAATTTCCTACACCTCCTGTTATCGACATTTTTCTTCTGTCGATAAAGTAGATTTTCGTTTTATCTATTGACGGCATAGTAAATCCCTGATAGAATTCTTTTTAATTCACCTTATCAAGAGGGTTTTTTTTTAAAAAAAATAAATAGCAACTATGAATGGAGAATTATTTTTGAGCAGTATATATATATATATATGTACACTAGTTATGAATATCCCCGTCATGTCGGGTCTTTTGAAAAATCGTTCTCTAGGGTATTTGTGTGACCTTAAACACTGTTTGTATATATAGGGACAGGTAATTCTTTGGTGGGTTATAACGGGGACATTGTATCGCCAGGAGGCGGAACAAAGTGGTGCAAGCATGCTGGCATAAATTTCAAATTCCGTTGAAATTTTTCACGAAACAAATATCAAACTATTTTATAGTCTTTTTAAGTTATATAACTATTTACTAAAAGTTACTTTTCTGTATAAATAAATACATTTACTAGTTTTTAAATTTTAGCTACTGAATCGCTTGAGTAAAATTCCCATTGAAATTTTAGTTATATTTGACTGAAAATTGGTAAAAATTCTTTATTGATTTAAATAGTAAAATCTGCATTAGCATTAATTGCTAAAACAGATTTCAACATTAAACTCTGCATTATGAGTAATCGGTAAAACAGATTTTACAATCGAATCTGCATTATCAATAGTCGGTAAAACAGATTTAACCGTCAAATCAGCATTATCAGTAATCGGTAAAACAGTTTTGACAGTCAAATCTGCATTATCATTAAAGGGTAAAACATATTACACTATTTCAACCAGTAAATAATAATTATACTAATTTTCAGACTGAATTTCAGTAGAAATCTTATTGAAGTGATTCCGTTACTAAATTCCAATTAATTCGTAACTCCAATCTCACTGATTCATGTATTATATTTCATTGAAAATTAATATAATTTTTTTCTGATTGAAACAATCAAATCTGTTTTACTAATTAAGGATAAAACAGATTTGACTGTTTGTCAATTTTGATAAAAAAAAGGAGATGGGTAAAGGGTATTACTAAATAAACAATAAAAAAATTAATGTAAATGAAGAACAAAATTTTTTAAATACTGTTTTTTTATGACAAAGAAAAAACAGAGGATTCATTGAATATCGTTTTTAGTTCAGTAGAGTTGCAACGTGAACTATTGACTGTTCCAAATAAATGATGCAGTCACCCATAAATGTTAGCGAGGTTTTTTATATATTTATTACAAAGAAGCAATTTTTCCAGTGTATTAATAAATTTGAAAGGCAATTAATGCTGTATTTTTATTGGTAATTTGAAAAAATTGACTGAAATTAAATATTTGGTAATTTCACTGAAAATCAGTAGAATTTTTTACTGATTGAAATAATCTAATCTGTTTTGCCGTAAAATGATAATGCAGATTTAAATGTTAAATCTCTTTTACCATTTATTGATAATGCAGACTTGTCGGTAAAATCTGTTTTACCGATTAATGATAATTTGACTATTTTAATTAGTAAAGAATTTTACTAATTTTCAATGAAATATGACTAAATTTCACTGATAAACTTACTGAAATGATTCAATTACCAAATTTCAACTATCAGTGAAATCTTACTGATTTAAATTTAGAAAATTGATAATAAAAAAAAAAAATTGGTTTTCTTTCAAATAAATTTTATTTATGAAAATTAAAATTTTTTTTTCTCTACTGGCTGTAAAATATTTTTAGAGGTAAAGAAAATTATGTTTGCCCAAATGGATACCATGAATAAACTCTACATTTAAACTATTGATTAAAACTTCAGACTGTTTGCGTTCAAAAACACACATGATGCGAAGCTATATAGGGAAATCGCTAACAGCTATTAGTCCTTGATCACTTGAAATCAGTGATACTCAACTATATTTTTTTAAAAAAAACAATCATTTCTATACACCATTAATTAGAGAAATTTTTATTTATCTTAGAAACAAAAAGAAAACTATTAAAATAATCAAATACAGATTTTGTCATTTAATCTCTATCTCGTCTTGTTTATTTTTGAAATATTTATTTTAGAACCTTTTTTTTTGGCTCACGAAAAGGCAATTCATTAATTTTTTATCACGCCATCAAATTTCTTGTGCTCGTTAATTTTGAAATTAATAAATTACTATTCATGTGCGTGCTTCATTGTAATTGGTTTATATTTGCGTTGCTATATATAAAATATAAATTTATATACAGTAAATAATAAATTTCTAAATATATTTATTATATTATATATAAAATACAGTGGTTTATAAATAAATTACAATTACTTTATTTTATGATGCGGCACACATATATGTGGAAAATTGAGAAGATTGTAATCTAAAAATAGACGTTTTATATCAGCTACAGGAAGAGATGTCTTTTGAAAAGAGAAAAGATAAAAAGCACAAACAAAGAGCCCTTTAACAAAAGGGGTATCGAATTGCTTAGGAAAAATCAGTTTGAAACAGTATATATTTATATATATATATATGAAAAACATTTTTGGGCAATTTTTTTTTAAATGAAAAAATTTAAGTTTCATTGAAAATTTTTAAATAACTAAAAAAAATCTCTTTTTTACTAATTTAGTTTTAAAAATCCCGTCAAAATCTTTCTGTCGATTGTTTGTTCGAAACATTGCTATTTCGGACAAATAAAAATTCTATCAATATAATCGTATAAATATAATTTTATAATATAATTATAATACATTTATTTTTATAATTAATATTATAAATAGTAAAATAAAAAATTATTTTGCATATTGATTCAAAATATTTCATTTGTTGAAAAAAAATTATGACATAGATTTCGAAAAATTGCGCGACAAATTTCTGTCTATTTTAATTGGTCGATATTGTCACGTGACTGAAAAAATGGCCGCCATCGATAGGAACAGCTGATCTTCGTATTTTAGTATTTTAAGTGTCAAAAAGAATTTAAAACATTATACATTTATAAAAAAAAAATTAATCTAATTCATTTTCTTTAAGTTTAATTTACTTTAAAATAAAAATTGTAATTTACAATAAAAATTACTGAAAGAAAATAGTAAAAAAGTGCCTATTTTTGTATTCTAAAACGGATGTCTGTAAAGCGTTGCATCTTATTATTTACTTTAATCCATATTTTGTTATAAAAATAATATTCCACAATTTACTATGTAAAGCATTATACTTTTTACTATATATTTTATATATTTTTAAGTCTTCAACTTTCAAAAGCACTATATGCAAATTTCAAAGCTATAAAGACTTTAATTTTTTTTTTTTTGACTTGTAGGAAATTTTTTTTCATATTTTCATTTTACATTTCAATATTATTTTATTTAAAAAGTTCTTTATGGATATTTTCTTTTATTCAATTTCCTACTGATATATAGATATAAATTTTATCTTGACCATGAGCCTTCTACCTTTTGAAAATAAAAAAAAAATAAAATCAATAAAACAAAAATGAAGAGTAAATAAAAATGATATGAGTCAAATATAGACAGATTGAAGAAAATTTTTCGAAAAAAAAAATTATCAATGTTTGCTTGTCTTTTTAGATTGGGAATAATCGTATTTTTTTTTATTTTTGGAATTGAAAGGTCTTTCCAGGAAATACGAGCTTTAACAATGAAAGCTCGAAAGCTGACGGTACGTGTGATGTGCGTAAATGTCAAGAACCATTCAATAGTCTGACAAGTGCTGTGAAAGAGCGACAATGGATTTTTGCAGCATCACATCGATTTACAGCTATATATAGTATATATATATATATATATTTTTTTTTTGTGAATTCACTCTCTTGATTTGGAACAAACGAACCCAATTTTACCTTCATAAATATATTTTTTTCAAAAACAGAACAAAAAAATTAAAACAGAAAAAAAACATATAGAAATCAAATGCGAAACAACAGATTTTTTTCATTGTTTGTTAAAAAAAATAAATAATGGTATATAGTAGAAAAAAAATGTTTTTTTTTTCATTGTTTACAGATTTAGATGAGAGTTTTTTTTTTCATAAATTATATTGATATAAAAAATTACGTGAAATTTTATTGCATTGTAGCATAAATGAAAAAGGGTATTGTATGATTCGAGTTTTTGTTTTTTAATAATAATAATGGTATAATTAACTAAATAAAATTGGTCAACCAAAGCGGGAATCTACATTGTATTTAAAAAAGATTTACTCATCACTATAAAAATAGTAAATCATAAAAAATAATTTTTTTTTTCATATACCAAAAATCTAAATATTTGAAAAATCTTTACTTTTAATATTTTTTTCAAATTTTTCGTAAAATTAGAGAATATATTTTATATATAAAACGACAAAATTAATTAAAATTATTAATTAATAATAATATTAATTAAGTAATTGATAAATCTTAAAAAAAAATTTTATATTACATACCTGTTCTTTTCAAATATGCGCATATTATTTCCTTTCTCTTTCAATAAAAATTGTGTGCTTCGTTAATTTTCCGAAAATCCTGTAACAGAAAAATAGTTTTATTGATTTTTTTTTTCATTTTTCTTACTGCGAAAAGCTTTTAGTTTCTTTATTAATGAATAAGAGCGACTCTCGTACCAATATTGACTTAATTTAATTTTAATAAGAAATTTTCTCAATTTAATAAATTAATAAATGTCTATGAATATTACATAATGATTAATTAATGGGTAAAAATATATTATTTATTTACAGAGTATTAATCTAATTAGTCGAAATTTTTCTTTTCGTCGTATAAGTGTTTTATATTTTCTATGGTCTTATATATATATAATACTTTTTGTAACTTCACCGTCACATTATATATAGCAATAGATTCGTCTTAAAAGGGCTGAACCAACCCGTCTTTTCCATCTGATGTCTGCGAATAAGAAAAAGTGAAAAACTTGATCAACGATCTGGCAATCGTGACGTTGACATCAACTTCTTTTGCTTTTCTTTTTTTTTTTTTTAAATGTACCTTATATTGTATTTCTCGGTCACAAGAAAAAGATAAGAAAAAAAATGATGAGGTCAAAAAGTTATCAAATTTTCCAAATTGAAAAAAATGTGAAACAAATATTACCACTTTATGAAAAATGTCAAAAATCACTTCGCACTTTTTATTTTTCAAATTTTAATTTCTATTTTTTATTTTTTAGATAATCTCCATTTTCCAATGAGGATCGGCCACGAAAGCAAAAAATGTGCCAGGAGGGATAAAGCCATTTGAAAAAAAATTTTCTGGAATCGATTTCGGACTTAATTACTAAAAATAATTCGACATATCATCGAATATTTTTACGAAAACGAATCTTAGCCAACTAAGATTAAATTTAGATATATAAAAATTAATTAAAAATAATTTGTCTAAATTTTATCATATTAGAATCTTTTTTTTTATTTCAAGATTTTTTTCAAAATATTTTTTATTATTTCGGGGAAATAAATAATTTTTTGTTCAATTTTATTACGTACTGAAACGTGACATTTTTCTATCATTCAAATAAGTAGTATTAATTTGCAGAAAGACGTTTACTTGAGTTAAATAATTTTTTATTTTAATTAAATTTACATTTATTTGGATTCAAAAAATTTTTTTCTTCCATACAAACAAAATTTTGATCTATGAAATAAATTTTATCTCTAAGTAAACTATTATTTGAGTTAATTAAATAGAATTTAGTTTTAATTAACCCAATTATTCATATTGAATATAATCAAATAATTCCTATGTCTGTATTTTTTTGTTATAAAATAATTATTTTATCCAAATTAATCATTATTTTAATTATTTATAAAAAATTATTTGATCCAATTTTTTTACTATTTATTGAATTTCCATTGCGCGATTAATTATTAATGTTAAATTATAATTTGAAGTAACAAAAATTATCGTATATATTAATATAGAATAATGGGAAACATAAATTGTATAGACGTAATGCTTATAGCTAATCATGTTTGGACACAATTAAGCTCGAGTGCATGTCGATATTGTTTACACCTGAACTCGGCATCTCGTTAGTGCGACGACGATGTTCCAAAACATGTTGAGTTGAAGCTATACAGTTTGAAGTCTAAATAACTGCAAGTTTCAGAGCCGACTGCATCACCAAAGGATGAAGTTTCTAGGCGGCAAAGTTAATGCTTTGCAAATGTAATTGGAAACGTTAACTATCTATAAGGAGAAGCACTTTTGAGATGAAATGGATTCGTCGTGCCTCGAGAAAATTTCATCTTCCTATTATACATATATATACATTTCATTTTTAACATTCACTTGTAATTATCATTTCAAAAAAAAGTGGGTAAAAAAAATTCGTTTTGGGAATTATTTGTATTATTATTTTATTTTTATTCCTTTTTTTGTTGACTAATTTTTGAATATCTTTTAAATCAATGCATTTGAATCAGATAAAATGTATAATACGTTCACCAATTTTGAAATTGGATAATTTTTATTTAAATCGAGTTTTTCACGGCTTTTTTCTTGTCGATTGAAAAATTTAATGGCTCAATTTACTGTGTGCATAAAAATCCACTCTACCATCAACTGTATAAAACATTTTAAAAGAAATCGTTATACCGGTGGAAAAAAAAGTAAATTAAACTTCATTTAAATGTTTCGTATTTGCATATATTATACTCGTGTAATGTAATTTTATTTTCTCAAACACATTCGAAAGTAGATATAAGATTTTTAATATTAAATTTCAGCCCTCGTGCATACGTATAAATTCATTAATATTTTAAATCTTTTATTTTTGATTTATACGGTAATTGAATTCAATTTTAAAAAAAGCATTGTTTGTTTGTTTTTTGTCCTCGGAAAGGTAGAAATTTTTTTCATATAACGAGGTCAGGTCATTATTCTAAATTTATTTCTAAAGTAAAATTGATCACGAATATAAAAAAAAAAATAAAATAAAAAAAAGTGTTTGGAGGATGGAGAGAAAATGTGTATTTAGTGTGACAGCAGATGTCGATGGAGACGTGATGCGCATTAACTTGGGCTATAGGGCATTAATGATCGAAACAGTGCTGACACTCGTGGTAGCGTTAATGGTTGGAGGCAGGTTTGGTTCGCCGATAAATTTATGGGAAGTGAATGATACTATAACATGATGCCGATAGGAGACCACGTAAATTTGCGGTAAAGCTAACCGTATTTCGGTTTTGCTTCTCACTATCAATTCGCTTTTTCCACTTATCACTGTATCATTCAAAACTTCTCCATTCTTTTACTCTTTCATCAACTGCATCGAAAAAAAAAATCCAACTATACAATTTGTTACGGTCAATTTAATAAAAGACTCACTATACCTTTTATATCACTTCTGTAAGTGACAATTTATTATCAAAATAATATTATACATACAAAGATAGGAATAAGACTGAATTGCTAAAACGTTTTGCAGCTCATGTCAAATATGAAGCAATACAGTCTCTAAAGCCTAAGTTTTAAATTCTTATCTAAATAAGGTTTAATATCTACTTTTGCCATTCTATGTGGTTGTCTTTCGTAGGTTACAACGACGGGTTCATTAGTGATTTGATTTTTAATACAGAATAAACATAAATTTTTAGGTAAACATTTTCGTATTATTTTAAACAATCCACATTTATACATTACATAAATTTCTGTAATATAGTTAAACTACTATAACCTGCAATGTGTAATACGTCTACAGCCTCTTCTTTCCAATTATTGATTCGAGTACGTGATTTTATTTGCTCCAATAAATCTAATGTATTATCTAATCCTAATTTAGCATTTGCTAATGTTTGTTGATCTAATTTTTGAGATAGCGGAATTAATCTATCTCTTAGATTTTCTATTTCATTTTTGTCAAAAGGTAATACGTAACTTAAATTAATGTTAACAATTTTGTTTACTGTTTGTATACTTGGAAGATACAATTCTGTGTTTTCTAAAAATACTTTACATCTTGAACTTTGTATTAAACTAGCATGGTGAATTGTAATAGTTTCAAGTCCGTCGTCACAATTAATGTCAATAGTTATTTGTGGTAGTAATATGTATCCATTGGTAACGGAAATACATGTTTCTTGATGTAATAAATATGGGGATAGTATACAATTTGCTAAAGCATCTCTCCTTAACAAAGTAGCATCACATCCGTTAGATTTGCCTAGTAAATAATTTGGTTTTCTTTTATAGATTTTATATTCTACTATGTTTTTACATTTGGTTTTGGTAGTCAATTTTCATGATCCTTTGTATTTTATGAAATATTCATGTTCTGGTGTATATCCTAAATAGGTGTCCTTTATTTTCTCTGGGATTGGTATTAGTCGAATAAAAATTCCCTTCTTCCTTTTCAATTACTGGTATTCTCAAAATGTAAGTCTTCTTTTATTATTGCTACTCCAACTTCACTCAAGTCAATAATATATTGATAAGTTTCTTCAGTATTTTCAAAATGATATCTCGTTCTATGGACTTGTTCGAATTATTCTATAGTATTCTTTAGTATTTTTGGTGTCAACAGTTGAGGATGAACTATTCCAATGTTTTCCGTCGTTAATAGCGTCTATTGCTATATTAATGTCTTCGTCAATCAGTAGTGTTACTATTACTAGTTTTGAATTTATAAAATTTTCTTTAATAGTTTCGTTTATTGTTATTCGTAAATTCATAGTTAATTCTAGTTTTCGATTAGTTTGTTTTTGAAGTAGTTCATGATCTAATGAAGATAAATCTAGAATCAGTTTTATAATTTTCATATGATTAGTTAATATATTTGCTAATTGATTTTGATCATCACGAACTTCATCAAACTGATGTTTAATAGCTTCTAAATCCGCATCATTCATAATTCCAAATAAAGGTTTTGCTATATCTCCCACAAAATTGACTAGAACCTCTTTTTATTCAACGTCCTCCTAACAATTTATTTAATAAATCATGCTTACTTTTTAACCTGTCAAATCGTCCCCTTATTAAATGAATTTCGTTCTCAGAATTACAATAAATGGAACATGCTGCTTCACTTATTTGAATTGTTTTTTCAATCATATCAAATCTATTGTCTACATTGGTAACGTTTATTCCGATTATTAATCCCCATTCTTCGTGATACTGGTGGACGGGTCCTATGACTTCGATATACACATTTCCTTGCAGTTCTGTTGTTATATTGATATTTCTGTATGTTAGACTAATCTTCAGAATTATCAGTACAATTATATTGATTATCATTTTCGTCATGTAATCTGCTTCTTCTGGATTCTTGTGACGTGTGAAGAGTGGCCGTAGACACTGCTGCAAAATATCCACAAGTTGGTGGCTGACGTATCTGCCTGGGTCTCCAATTGGATAAAATTCCTCCAGAAGATGATGACTCACTGTACCTTTTATATCACTTCTGTAAGTGACAATTTATTATCAAAATAATATTATACATACAAAGGTAGGAATAAGACTAAATTGCTAAAACGTTTTGCAGCTCATGTCAAATATGAAGCAATACAGGT